TGACTCAAGACAAGTGACGGAACGGTAAGTTTGAAGAGACAAATCAATGGGTTTCAAAACTCAAACAATCTGGTGATGTTTCCTTGTTATACTGGGATAGAAATGGAGAGAAACAAGCTAACATGGAATAGAAGGGCCAGGTGACCTCCAATTTGTGTGAAGGCCTCTGCCCAGGGAGGAATGGGTTTCTTTCGAGGTTTGACTGGCTCAGGCTGGGTCTTCCAAGCCGAGAAAGGCCCAGAGATGACGCCATAGCCTCACCCTGGGCCCTCATGAGCAAAGTCCCACTCCTGCTCCTTAGCTGTTTAGCACTTGGTGTGACAGAGGGCTGATGCTAACCCAAAGGCCCTCCGTGAGGACTGTGGTGAGGGCTGAGTGTGTAGGAGGCAACGTAGCCCAGGAGGGAGATTCTGGGTGTAGTGTGGGCCCTGGAGGCCACACAGGCTAGGGGGCATTGGGCCAGTCAGCTTTGGGCTTGTTTCACATGCCTGAGTCGGTAGGTGGAGGAGACATTCTCCCCCACTCTGAGGCCCTTGGTGAAGGGGTGAGTTCTGCCCCTACATTTCAGCTACACTGGCTTCTAAGGTGGCTACAAGCAGGAAGAACTGAAGTTAAGTCTGCTGGAAGAGCAAGGGGTCAAGACAGCATGGAACTCGTGGGCCTTTGTGTAAAGCCTAGGCCTCATAAGAATGGTGCAAGATTTTGTCTGAAAGAGCATCTGCACAGAAATATTTCTTAAGTGAACAAGCTTTCTCCTGTCTCAACAGCACAGTCAGTGGATAACCTGCTGCCAAAGAAGCTTCTGTACTTGTCAGGGATTCCCAGGGCTTAACAGGAGTGAAGAAGTACATGGGAAAAAGGGATCCTAAAAGTTGTCTTTTCTGAGATCTTGGCTGATTCCTGAGAAATGTAATTTATATGGGCATTTAGCTTGAATTTTTTAAAGAAAAAGGTAAAAATCTTAACATCACTTTTTCCTTTTAGGTAGTAGTGTTTGGCTCAACTGAAGTTAAGCAAACGGACTGAGCGTTGTATGGACTGTAGATCAGAGGGTGGGGAGGCACATGTCTAGAGGGCCACTCCGGCAACACGGAGGGGGGCCCTGGCACAAATGGTCAGTGCTGGGGGGCTATTGCTTTGGGTGCCTGGAAATGGGGAACCAATTTGGGAAAATGGCCCTCAGGTAGTCTTTAGCGCCACTAAAGCCAGTCATACGCAAGATAAAAGATTCTTTTATATATCTGATATAAAAAGTAGATCTTTATGTATCTTAACAGCTTGTAAAACTAGAAGAAAACACCTAGAAAAGTCCTCCATTTCTAATCACTTTTCTCTTGTGTAGGTTCAGCTGGAAGGTAACAGCTCATAATGAGAACTTCATGGGTTAGAATGTTCCCTTAGTTTTATGGCTACTGCTGGTAGCTGTTTGGTTTTCTTTTAAAAATTCCCTAACAGACTCCATATACTGAAAGCTGGGAACAGTGGGGCCTTTGGAATTTAGCAGAGATTCCAAGTGCGTGTTGTGGGGTAGAGTGGCCTGGAAGAGACGTCTTTCAATGGTCTGATGCAGAACAAATGTCACCTTTTCAGCTCCCCACTTCCCCTGGATACTGCCAGCCACAGTAGCCTGTCCTCCCGGCCACAACCCTGTCGTTTTTTCCATAGCACGATCAGTCTGAACGTCTTCTGTTCTGTTCTCACTCAAACACTTACTGAAAGATTCAGTCTTCACTCACTGTCTAGCCTTCACCCCTCAGGGACCCCATGATAGCACAGCCTTGAAGGCCACCTCACGGATGTGCCCACAGGGAGGGGGCTGGTGCCTGAAGCAACTTGCCCATGAAGCTCAACAGGCTTCTCCTGTGTGTGGTTCTGGTAGAAACTGCTGAGGCGGTTCCCTTCCTTTGTGGCCCCTGCCCCACGGACACCCATCCTGACTCTGCTCTCTGACCATCCCAGGGCCCACGTTATACCAACTCTGCTGTCTCTGTAACAGCTGAGTTTGTGACGTCTGCATGGCTAAAGCAAGCCACTCCCTTGTGGACTGTCTCTGAATTACCTGCAGTGGCTCCTGTGTTTGGGGGTTCACCCAGGCATTTTTCAAGTGGGGCAGAGAATGGTGACCACTGTCAATTCTGCCAACGGGGAGAGTTATCCTCTTTATCCTGGTGAAATGGCAGCAAGTGCATAGTTTTCTCCCCACCACTTCTCTGAGACATGGGTCATCATTTGTAATGTTTTTTGCAGGGTGGTGGGCATGGCTGGGAGGCAAGAATCACCATCTTAGCACCTCCCTTCCTGCCCCTTCCTGAGGTCCTCCATGATCATAAGGCACAGTTTATGTCAACGCCTGCTGGAGCTGCTTCCATCATCCCATCATCACAAGAGAAGATGAAGCAGGTGACGGTGCACAGTGGGGAGGGAAGGAAGAGTGGGCAGGTGCCTGGGCGCCGTGGCCCCTCCCACATCAGGGCCAAATACAGCAGGCTGGGTGCCACCTGCGTGAATATGGAACAGATCATGAATCCACTGACTGCGGGGGGGGGGGGGGTACTATGCACGGCAAAGGTTACCAGCTACACTGGACCTTGAGGGAACAAGGCCTCCTGAACTTCTCCCAGAGCAGAGTAACCAGCACTCTCTGGGAGGAGTGTCCATGTGTGTGTGTATACACGTGTGTACAAATAAGCCCAAGTACTGCTCCTATAAAGAAGCTTGGATGTTGTAACCACAATTTCCTAGCATCCTTTTCTGTTTGATTTCTCGTGAAATTCTATCTGGACTTTAGAACCAGATAAATCTATGGGGAAGAAGCAGAAGAATGACAGAACTTCCCTAAATATCTCCATCTGGGTTTCTGCTCAGGTCAAGTCTTCCACCTGTGCTGTGTCCTGTGACCCCAGTGTGACCCCACTGAGCATCCTCAGCAAGAACCCAGGGCCATCACTGAGGAACAGCGGCCGGTTCTGCTAAACCCCACACAGTGCTGGCGCGGGTGGCCAGTGACAAGGCACCAGGAATGAATGCTAAGAGTCTTGGCTGCTTTTTCTCCTGAGCCCATGTTTTATCTGTAGCTGAGAGAACGGAGAAGGGAGAAGTTCCCCACGCACTCTGGTGAGGCTGAGGCGCACTCATCATCAGTGCACCTGTCATGAATGCGGACGGGCGGGTCTGGGGCCTGTGGCACAGTATTTCCAAATCTGAAAAGCTAGTTGTGGCCCTGTGGCTCTCCAGGGCCCCTTTCAAGCACGGGGATGAGAAAGGTTGGGGTAGGTACAGGTGGAGGCAGCCTGAGAAGACCTGGTTCTACCTGACTGTGCAGCTGATGACCTTCCCAGTCAGAAAGTCCCCTGCAGGCCCCTGGCCACCCACCTCCTCCACGCCCAGCCTCAGGATGCGCCAAAGTCATCCTGCACCTGCCTCCACCTCTGCCTCAACACTCTGCACTATGGCTTATTCCTGACAGAATGAGTTTTGTCTCAAAGGAACTTAATGCTCTACATTCTTCTGTACTAGCTGTTTGGGATAGTGAGGCCCTGCCCCTCTGGTCACTGCAGGCATTGGCCTGCATACTCCCCCGGCGGGATTTAGAAAAGAATTGGTGGGCTGAGCTCACGGATACCGGATGCATAATTTAAGGACAAATACAAACAAGTCAAGTCAAAGGCCTAGAGTTAATTTTCCATTATCACTTGCTCCTTTCCAAGGCCTGAATGTGCACTTAAGTTGGGGTTTGGCCATGGTGGCAACTGTCTCCACACCCATATTCAGAGGGGCAGTAACTGAACCCAGCATGTGTGGTTCCCAGTGGCGTCTTTGGCTCTGTCTTGAGAGTCTACATCCTGCTCCACTGCACGCCCAGCTGCCTGGGGTGCTCACCATTTTCTGGTGTTTCTGTGAAACTATCAGGTTAGTTTGAAATGCGTTTCACCCAGGAATCAACCCAGTATGGTCATTTTGATTCATGAGAATGCAGAGAAGGTGACATGTACAGGAAAACACTGCTTGTTCGTATTCTTGAACTCCTTTTCAGACAAAAGTAATGGCAGTTCACTTTTACAAATTGCACACGGGGTGAAATCATACAGTTATTTGCATGGAACAGTAAGCAAGCAGTTCAGTCATAGGGATATGTTTCTTTGTTTTGTGCTAAGTGAAAAAGCTGTAGGGAACGCATAGCTCTGATTAAAACTACAGAGACAATTTCCTGCTCTGTAACACTCCAGATTTAGGATGCTGGCGAAAGGCAGTGCTGGCAAAGTATTTAATGCACGTGAAAATACTATTCTATTTTGGCTTCCAGAAGTAGCCCTAGAAAATTCTATGCACCAATGCATTGGCTAAGACTGATAATTTCAGCTGGACTATAAATTATTCTAAATGTCACTTAAGTACTTCAGAATTCGCGCTTGCTCCTTTCTAGAAGCCGTCTAAGGCAGCTGATGCATAAAGCACCTCGACTAGACTTTCACCTAGTTCAGCGGTTCGATCTGTGCTCCTGGGGCCCCGTGGTGTCCCTCACTCCCTGCACAGCTCCTCCCACCAGGAACCTCTTGTGGTCAGTCAGCCTCGGGAAAGGGCAGCCCAGGCCAGGGAACGGGACGAGGGAACGAGACCATTAGGGGCTGTTCATGTAGCCATCTCAGTTCTAAGAGGGGGTGGGTGGATGCAGGGGCCACAATGGCCCCGCCGCACGGAAGGGATATGTGTGGCATCCATGCTGCCCGTTCCTCAGGGATGGTCCCCTCCGCCACCTCAGAGAACAGGCTGTGTTTGCCATGTGATCTACTGCTCTGTTGTTTAGAGTTTTATTCACACTACGTTAGCTTTCTTGTCAACCATCTCAGCCTGCAGGTAATTTGCTTATTGTGTTTCCCGAGTTTTCACTGAACACACAGTGCAAACAAAGGCAAAGACTGAAGCAGTCGTTTCAAAAACAAGAGCTCACACTAAAAACACACATGAGCATCAGAGAGCAAAACGCGGGTTTGCGCCTGTCTTTATTCTGGGGAGGATGAGTCCTCCTCGTCCTCTTCCTCGTCTTCATCGTTGAATGAACAGGGCGTTTCGCCTCGGGACTCAGAGCAGTGAGAGGCCGCACTGCTGGACTGGTGACTGTTTGGGGCAAGGAGCTGCCCCGTTGCTAAGGCCACTTCAGCATCCAGGCACAACCCTTGGTTTACACTAGCAAACAATCGGAAACACACAGGCTCGTTAATGTGGTGTATAGGCTTTAAGCTTTGGAAAACATAAAGGACGAGAGCCCAGGAAACGTTATGGTCACAGGCGAGCTCTGCCGGGATCCGCAGGAGACCCAGCTGATAGCAGCACATGGGGCTCCCCTCCAGTGAGGAGCAGGCCAGGAGGCTAACCCTTCTAACCCTGAGAAAATACATACCTTGATTGGGACAAGGTGGCACCGGTGGTCAGGTCTAAATTTGAAACGGATTGGGTAGAGTTCAAAAGCAGTCCCTGATTTAACCAAGACGGTCCTGTGGAGATGTCTACAGGAAAAAACAAAAACAGATGGAGGCCTGGTGAGTCCTGTGGCTGCTTTTGCTATGGCCTGAAGAAAGCACAGATGAATGAGGCAGCAGCCACTTCTAACTTACAGTCTCTTGCCCTGGGGAGGACCCAGGTTTCTTCAGCTTGGAAAAAGGAAATTTCTAAAACATAAGAGTGGAGGAACGGGGAGGATACAGGGAGACAGACTACAGCTGGAAAGAATTCAAATTAGACCAATCCCAGACTCTTCCTTCTTTTTTTCTTGCAGAAGCCCTTGAGAGGGCATCCCACTGAATACATTGATGGTTTTACTGCTGCGGACACCCGCCGGACGCACCACAACAGCCTCTGACTGTGGTGTTAGCAACCAGAGCAGCAGTGGGTAAGCAGTCCACTCAGAATATCTTATGTCAGAAGGACAGACACCCCCCACACCCCCCACCATGTTTTCAAGTGCCCCCTAGTGAACTCAGTGCTATTACTGATCAGGATTTACTCTTTTTCCTGGTATCCTTTGCTTTAAAACTTGAACTAAACCTTATTTTAAAAGGCTATACACAGTCACATTTTTCATGAGGGCACTGCTGTTTCAGTCTGCATAAAATATTTTGGAAATATATCTGTGCAGTCCTGTTTTCTATGCATTTACCATATTTCTCCTATCACAGCGCTGACTCGTTCTTACTGTAACTTTATTATTATTTATTGATGGCTGTGCTGGGTCTTTGCTGCTGCACAGGCTTTTTTCTAGTTGTGGCAAGTGGGGGCTACTCTGTAATTGCTGTATACAGGCTTCTCACTGTTGTGGCTTCTCTTGTCACAGAGCACAGGCTCGAGGGCACACAGGCATAGTTGCTCCCTAGCTTGTGGGATCTTTCTGGATCAGGGATGGAACCTGTGTCTCTTGCACTGGCAGACAGATTCTTTACCACTGGGCCACCAGGGAGGCCCTGTAACTTATTTAACCCTGTCTCCTTATCTAGACTGTTAGCTCAGAGAAGGCAGTGACTGGGACAAATAAAATCTAAATGTTAATGAATGAGCATTGTGTATTTCAAAGGTGAGTTTACAACACAGGTGGTAGAAATATCAAATTCTTGAGAAAAACTTACTTGACTTAAGTTGTAAGATGAGACCAAGCATAGGCTCAGAAAAAGGTAAATTGCCAAAATGAGTTATTACATTAATCAAAATAGTTTTGTAATTACTGTGCAAAAAAGAAAAGAAACCATGTACTAGGACTGGAGGCTCTGCCCTCCCAGTACTACCTGATCAAGTGAGAGGCTTCCCACGTAGGAAAAAAGTAAACTAACCAACCACATTCATCTTAACATGGCCTGTGAGCCTTTTCTTCACGCTAACTAAAGCAGCTGCGAGGCGGGGGGTATTCTAAGAACAGCAGGCTTTAAATGGGTACAATAAGAACAAGTCGGTACATGATGTTAAAGCCAGAATCCTGTGCTAAGTATTATTAATTAGTATGTATGGAAACCTTCTGTCGGAACACAGCTCTTGACATGATACATTTTCTTTTCACAATGGCTCTGAAAAGCTGACCCACACAACAGTTCTCACAACCCTCCTCAAGAGCCATCCTGTCCCTCTGCACGCTGGAGACACACACTTCTGCACCAACCAGAAAGTCTATCCTAGTCTGGAAACAAGGCCACCAAGAGATCAAAACCACAGAGCCCACCTAATCGCCTGCAGTCTTTTCACTGAGAATGAGCTAAAATAAAGTCCTGGTGACTTACAGAGTAAGAGCCTTTTGCAGACCCTGCTGGAAGGCTAGGATGCCTGAGCTGCTAAGAAAACAGCAGGTCCCCCTCTGGGAGAGAATTGGGGGGGGCGGGGGGTGCAAATAGGGGACTGGGAGGCTGAGGAGCAAGAAGAGGGGGTCAGACAGGAAGTGTGTGGTGTGAATTTAAGTACTAAATGCAATAAAAACCAAATCTAAATCCAGGCTCTTGCGTTGTGGCTAAAACCATAAAACAGTGGCAACTGCTTACATCTGGCTTAATAATCCTTAGAGCTAATATTAAAGTGCCTTTAAGATACGGTATGAAATGGTAGGTCGTAATACTTATAAATGAAGGCAACTGGCAAAAAAGGTAGAAGAACGCTTGTGTCTATACACCCAAATTATATATGCAGAATATACCATAATTTTAGGAACTATGATCATAAAGAAGATTTCTTAATTATTGAAAATTTGAATTTTAGGACATGCAAGACAAAGTCTCTGTTTTCAAGTATACTCTTATAATGAAAAGACAACCCAGTTTTAAAATGGTCAAATGATCTGAATAGACATTTCTTCAAAGAAGATTCACAAATAGTCAATTAGCATATGAGAAGATGCTCAACATCAGCAGTCATTGGGGAAATGCAAATCGAAACCACAGTGAAAAACTTTCACTAGTGTGGTGGTAATAAAATAAGATGAACAATAACAAGTTTTGAGAAGGATATGGAGAAATCAGAACCCTCATACATTGCTGGTAGGATTGTAAAATGCTACAACTGCTTTGGGAAATAGTTTGGCACTTTCAGAATGCTAAATATAGTTACCATATGAACCAGCAATTCCACTGCTTGGTATACATCCAATAGCAGCAAAAACTTCTGTTCACACGGAAGCATGTACAATGTTTACAGCAGCATAATAGCCAAAAAGTGAAGACAATTCCAATATGTGAACTAATGAACAGATAAAGAAAATGTGGTATTATCCACAAAATGGGATGAAGTACTGATTCACGGATGAATTTTGAAAACATTATGCTAAACAAGTCAGTCGCCAAGGCTACATTAGTGTAAGATTGTATTTACATGAAAGGTCCAGAATGGACAAATCCACAGTGACAGGAAATAGATTAGTGGTTGCCAGAAGCTGGGAAGAATGGTGGGGGTCGGGGGTGGTGGTGGGTGGGAGTGAATGCTAAACACATGTGGAATTTCTGGGGTGATAAAATCATAATTAGATAATGGTGATGACTACAAAACCTTGTGAATATGCTAAAAATCACTGAACTGTACACTTTAAAGTGGTGTATCATATAGTATGGGAATTAAATCTCAATTTACAAAGTAATGAGTTCACATCCACCTGCCTGTTTTGGAAGGTGCCGCCTGTTTTGGAAGACAAAACACTTCCACTCTGGGGGTAGAGTATACCACGTCAAAATCAAGTTGGAAAGCCATGGCATCATCTAGTAACAATGAAGATGGACCTGCCCTGGACCCAGCAATCTCACTCGTAGATACATGCACACAGTCACCGAGATACAGTAATGGGAATGTTCAAAGTAGCACTGTTTAAATATCAAGAGATGGGAAACAAAACTAAAGGTTTATCAGCAGTAAAACGAACAAATAAACTGTGCTTCATCCACACGCTGGATTTCTAGGCAGCAGTAAAAATGCATCAATTACAGCTACATGAAATCATGTGGATAAATCTAAAGAACATGATGTTGAGTGAAAACAGTCAAATCACCAAAGAATATATCACTTTGAAAAAAAAAAAAAAAAAGAATATATCACTTTGGTCCCATTTCTATAAAGGTGAGAATTAGACAAAACTAAATAATAAATTGTTTCCAGCTCACTGTATTTTTTTGTGTTTGCATCTCTAAAGAAAAGTGGTGATACATAAGAAATTCAAGAGAGAGGTTACATTTCAGGGTAAGGGAACAGAATTGGCAGGGGGCAGATAGCAGGCGCTAATTTTCTATGAGAAAGGTTTTAGCAAGTTAGGGTCTGACATTTAATCAAGTACCACATTGACAGCATTAGTTAACATACCTGTGATATAGCCTTCCAAAGCCTTTGGCACCAGTGATTTAGCAAGTTTCAGATCCTCCAGGGAGCATTTGCCTGACTCCAGGCCAAAGGACATCCCCATTCGCTTCAGCACTTCTATGTCATCATGAATCTCAAAGGTGTTGTCAAAATTAAAAAGATATTCAAACCTGTATCAGGAAACAGAGTTAGTGAGAGGTTTCTGTGGTGTCTAATCTGAAGAGTGTTGTACTCTGTATATTCAATGGAAGCATGAGGACCTAAGCTCAGATACAGTACTAGAGATTGTTACTGTTTAGGGCAGTGAGTCCTTCTGCTGGGTTCAGAAGAATGACATCTCAAATAAACTGTTTTCCTGATTAAAATAACTTTCCTGTGACAGACAACAGGAGTCCTACATTCCAGCCCTCATTAAGCTGTGGCAAACTGGAGACAGGAATTTTGGTCTAAATCCATTATTTTTCAAAGTTGTCTGTAGCTTTGTCATAAAATATTAAGGAAGACTTTCCAAGTAGACTTTTTTCCAAAACAGATGTACAGATGGCCATGAGACACATGAAAAACTGTTCAACATCACTAATCATGTGGGAAATACAAATCAAAACCACAGTGAAGTATCATCTCGCACCTGTCAGAATGGCTATCACCAAAAAGACAACAAGTAACAAACACTGGCAAGGATGTTAAGAAAAGGCAACTCTCCTACACTTTGGCTGGGAATGTAAACTGATGCAACCACTGCGGGAAACAGTTTGGAGGCTTCCTCGAAAAAATTAAAAATAGAACTACCATATTATCCAGCAATTCCAAGTATTTACCCAAAGAAAGCAAAAACACTAATTTGAAAAGGTTACACTCAGCGTTCACTGAAGTATTATTTACAATAGCCATGATAATGGAAGCAACTTTAGTGTCCATCAATAGGTGAATGAATAAAGCTGTGGTATGTATACACACACACACACACACACACACACACGGGGATAGTACCACTCAGCCATAAAAAAAAACTTGCCATTTGCAATGATATATATAGATCTAGAGGGCATTATGCTAAATGAAATAAATCAGACTGAAAGACAAATATCGCATAATCTCATTTATATGTGGAATCTAAAAAACCAAAACAAATAAAAATAGACTCATAGAGAACAAATGAGCAGTTGCCAGAGGGGAGAGGCTGAAGGCAGTAGGAGAAACAGGTGAAGGGGATTAAAAGGTACAAACCTTCAATTATAAAGTAAGCCCTGGGGATACATACAACATAAAGAATATGGCCAATAATATTGTAATAAGTTTGTACAGGGACAGATGGTTACTAGACTTATCATGGTGATCAGTCTGTAATGGATGCAAATGTCAAATCACTATGCTGTATACCTGAAACTAATACAATATTGTATGTTAAGTATATGTCAATAGAAGTAAGTAAACCAAGCAAAGAAGTCATCGGGAGAAAAAAAAAAAACATACATAAAGAAAGCCTTTCCAATTTAGTACCTAACTTTCCTACCATGAGCTGGCCTATTAGGGTTGAGGAAAAAGCATTTTGGATGCTTACATCATTTTCATGAGTCAAGTGTTAGCCATATCACACCTTAGATGAGCAAAAAATGGAAGGCTTTTTACAAACTAACCAAACCCCAAACCCTGTCTTGAGGGTCTCAGGAGTAAAAATGCCCCAATCAAACATACAGTCAAGAAACAAGTGTCACATATAACACATAGCACATTTCCAAATGTTTCTGAAAAGTGCCAAATCAGGATGTCTAGCTGCCTGGCAAAGGCTTTCAATAAAGAGGCCACTCTAAGAAGAAATGGTCCTCCTGGCTCCCAGGCTAGGCTTGGAGCAATGTCGCCAGGAGCCTCAGGGACAGAGGGTAGGTGAATGTGCTGGGACAGTGGTGGGCTTACACTGTCATGAAATTCTGAGATATTAGATCAGAGCAAAATTTTTCATTTAAAGCAAAATGCCATACTTGCACCCCACCTTGAATATCAAGCCCCTATAAGCAGCTCAGAGCCTCCTGTACCCCAGTTGGGGGAGGGCGAGCAAAGGACAGGAGTCAATAACCACCCGAGAAGGAAGAGGATCCTTAATCCTCATAGGCCACTGGTCCCCAGACTTTGCTATTACTCTTTAAAACTTCAAAGACTAACCAAAGTAGAGAGTTTTAGTAATGTCCTACCAAACAAGAGGCTAACCAGAGAGAGTAACTAGAAATCTAACAGTTTATTTTTCCCAAAAATACATTAACCAGTCTTGGATTTATGGGAGTATGTGACACGTTCTTGTAGACACAGGTTTCTGTCCAGACTTTAAAGTGTGTGAACACTAACATACATATCTATAACATTTACTGCCCCCTGTGCTGGTCCTTTATGACTTTTGTAAGCCAGCAAGTTAATTATCAAATACTTTAGAAATCCCTGTTGTTTCTCTTCTTTTTTTGGTGCCTTTTATTTGCTTCCCTGGTAGCTCAGACGGTAAAGTGTCTGCCTACAATGTGGGAGACCTGGTTTCGATTCCTTGGTCAGGAAGATCCCCTGGAGAAGGAAATGGCAACCCACTCCAGTGTTCTTGCCTGGAAAATCCCATGGACTGAGGAGCCTGGTAGGCTACAGTTCATGGGGTTGCAAAGAGTTGGACATGACTGAGCAACTTCACCACACCTCATGATCTCTGTACACAGTCAAGATACGGAAGCAGTACTGCCAAGAAAAAGAGTGAGAAAAACCAGGGAGGGTAAACCCCAGAAGTTCTGGCCCCTGGGACAGTCCTGGGCTGTGCCTCTGCAGTGATGTGATTACTGAGCCCTCTTTTGGTCTCAGATGTATCCCAATTTGGATGATAAGTTACATACTGACTCCTTGGAATAGCAGCTAATATTTATAAAGCACTTTCCAGGAGTCAGATCTTTTAGAGGCATTGCCTTATTTAAGTGCTCGGGCCTGGTGCACTGGGAAGACCCAGAGGGATCGGGTGGAGAGGGAGGTGGGAGGGGGGACCGGGATGGGGAATACATGTAAATCCATGGCTAATTCATTTCAATGTATGACAAAAAACACTGCAATGATGTAAAGTAATTAGCCTCCAACTAATAAAAATAAATGAAAAAAAAAAAAAAAGAAATGACAGAGCCCTGGTATCATCCCCACTTGTTCTTCAGACAAAGCTTTAGAGCAGCTGCTTGGGGGAGCCACAGTTCATATTTCCTTCTATTTCACTCTGCATCTATGCCCTCAACTACCTCGATACTGATTCACAGCCTGAAGAGCACTACTGTTTTCATGAAGGATAAAATAAATTACAAATAAACTCTGTATTTTGAAAACTGCTATTTCTCACTTACTATGATAACAGTAATATAATGATATTACCATCAATCTTAGTTAAAATGAAAAACACGTTGGTGTGAATGTAAACTGGTGCACCCACTGAAAAACAGTATGGAGGCTTCTCAAAAATTAAAAAATAAAACTATAATCCCACTTTTGGGTATATGTATCTGAAGGAAATCAAATAACCATCCTGAAAAGACGTCTGCACTCCCGTGTTCACTGACCGCAGCATGACTTGCAATAGCCGAGGTGTGGAAAAAAACCTGTGTTTTTATCACCAGATGAGTGGATTAAAAAACCGTGATGTGCTTAACAGACCATAAAAAAAGACAATGGACAACAGATCATAAAAGAAGGAAATCTTGCCATCTACAACAACACAGATGACAGACCTTATATATGGACCTCAAAAACCCAACTCACAGACGCAGAGAATAGACTGAAGGTTGCCAGAGGTAGGGTGGGGTGGGGGTCGGGGGGAGTGGTGAGTGAAATGAATAAAGGTGGTTAAAAGGTACAAACTTCAAGTTAGTACTTCAAGATAATAAGAAAGCAAGCAAGCAGAGAACACCATCTAGTACTTTTTTTTCATCTAGTATTTTGTGTCCATTCATTATAAACAGAAGCACGCTCAACTACGATATAGCAAAAAAAAAAATTGCTTTAGTGCCACTTGCCGATCTCAACCATCTCCACCATAAACGTGACAATGCATACTGAACCTGGTGAACCTACCGTGTACCAGACACTCCCTGATGCTCTACTTGACTGCAGCGGCTTGCCCACTTATTTCATCCGTGTGTGCATACATATACATGCACGTTCTAGCTTGGCACCGCTATGTCTTCAGCACAAGCAGCACAGTGCCGGCCCAAGATGGGGATGTGGAGAGTGAAGAAGGAAGCAAGCACTAGAAGATGACAGCACTCTTGTTTCAAGAGTTGTTTCATAAGGCCCAAGGGAGTCAGCCTTGGAGGACTCAGGTAATATTACAAATGATAGGAATTATGTTAAACAGAAGGCTGGTCCTGCCCGCTGCCACTGGTTCTCCACTTACTTGTCACTGGAGATGCTGCAGTCTATGACTGTTTTTCTGCTTGTGTTGATGATTATAAATGGTAACTGAATGGTGGAGTTTAGAGCTGGAGGGCCCTGGTTCTGCTGTTCATTTTGCCGATTTCTTTGTACCAGGTTTTTGAAAGCGATTTGCTATAAGGATCAACAAAAACATACACAGACATTTAATGTGGATAAGTGAGGTGGAACTAAATGAATTAAGTACATCTAAAATATAGTTTAAAATTAGAGAATTTAAAGAGACCTTCCACCTATGAGTTAATTAAAATTAAACATCTAAGAAAAAAACATTAGAATGATCTAACTCAAGAAATACATTTCAAGGGCAAAAAATATTTATTTAAATGGTATCTAACATATCCTAATAAAAATAATGGGGCCCACAGTTTCTATCATCCATAGAAACAGGATCTTACAAATCTGAGAGAGAGTGCTACCTGCAACTCTTCTCAGGCTGGGTGATACAGCAAAAGTGGACTTGTTTTCCATTTAACTAACAGACTCCTGAGGGTTTAGGGTTAAATACATCTCTTAGATCATCCAGCCCAGAAACATACAAACTATACAAAGCCACAGAACCCTTTCTTCAAGTGAAACCTTCTGGGACACCCACTGTTTATAAGACAGATGAACACATCCTTGCTCTGGTTGGCTGCACGGAAGCGGAGTCCTGAGCCCTGCCAGCTCAGCCCTCATTCACCCTATGGGCTCCTTCACAGAACTTCTAAGGATCTACAGGGCACAGTTTGGAATCTGGTCCAAGCCCCTCCCCAGCTGACATCTTTCAGGAGAGGAACCTGAGGCTTAGCACTGATTTATAAGGTATATCAAGGCCTGAAACTTTGCACTGAATCTTGCTACTACCTTTAAGCTATAACCATTACTCAAAAGTCAAAGAAAGTGACCCTGCCACCCTGCCTTTTAAATAAGGCAAATGTATCACAGAATTCCACAGGTAGAAAGACCTTACAGAGTGAAGTCTTTCATCTGCTTGCGGAACAGATACAGGTTAAAAGAGCTCCTAAAGTCAGAGCCTTTCATCCCTTCCATCAGTTTGTTCCCTCTGGTCACCCAGTAGTGATGGATTTCAGTTATTTTCTATGTTTTAGCAACTTTATCCTAGCAGTGTTTATTTTAGGTCTTGGGCCTTAACTGAAGTTTGATTAAAATTTATGCTGTCTTATAATGGCTGGGTGCTAGCTCCCTGAAAAGTAAACATTTACTCCTTTAAAATGCACAAAACAGAAGGGACACCAATTTATTCTAGCCCTGACAGTGTGTCTAAAACCATCACTGTCAACACCATTCATTACCAAACATTACTTGAGTCATACTTACTAATTTGTTATATTCTGCTGCTAATGAACTAAGGCAATTATATTCAATGCTTAGCTCATTTAATATTGAGGAAAAATACACTGAAACTATAAAACTCAGAAAAAGAATTATGTTTGAATACCTCCACCTGGCTATCTTACTCTTCCAGAAAACACATCCTGGAGACAGCCCATACCTGGCCTAGCTCTGCGGTCTTAGTGCCATGGGAGGGCCTCGGTAGAGGGAGAAATACAAACAGTGGTAAGTAAAAGTTCTTACATATTTATGATTCACTGTTCTATACTGTGCACATTTGATAGCATCAAAGATTGTTCTTGGGAAAAAAGCTGTGACTATACATACAATGTTATTTTGATAGTAAAAAGAAAAATCACCCCATTTGTTTTAAACTGATTTCCTTATTTGTTGCCATTTGATTTATATTTAGCCTTTTGTTCTCTTCCAGGCTTATTAACATTTATTTCAGAGGCTAAACAGCTGTAGGTATATTCAGACATTCATTTTACTCTGCATTAGTAGCTCTGGAAAAGTTTAAGGGCTGGAAGGGACAATGATATAGATAAAAGCAGGACATCTGGATCATCTGTGGGTAGAATCTACTCATGCCATTCCTGTCCTACATGACCAAGAGAAGAGGTAGCATGTGAGTAAAAGTGACCTGGATCATGTAATGTCAGTAGTTGTGACATTCACTAGTTAAAAAATTAAGCTTGCTTAGCCACAGAGAGGTAAATTATTGGTGTTCAGGGACAACTTGCTTAATGTACTTTCTGTGACAACTTCGTAATTTGCTGAAAGAAAGAAAAAGGAAATACTAGGAGGAAATAAGCTGTATGTCAACCAGGAGTCTAGCAGTAGTTGTCTTCAGTTATATTTTGTGTTTCGTTTCACAGTTCAGAGAGACCTGCTTTTATAAATGTTGACAGCTAGGTTGCGCCTGCATTGAAATCTGCAAATATTTGGTTTGAGACAGAAGAGAAAAAGAAATTTAGGACTTAAAAAAAAACAATGCAAATTTCATTGTAGAAAGGGGAAAAATATTCCAGGTCACTTTTTTTTTTTTTTGCCATACCTAGAGGCATGTGGGATCTCAGTTCCCTGACCAGGGATTGAAGATGGAACCCACACCCCCTGCAGTGGAAGCCCGAAATCTTAGGCACTGGACCGCCAAAGAAGTCCTCTGGTCCATTCTTTGTGCTGGTCGTCTAGGGATAGGAAAGCCCACATACATGAGGGCGATCTGGCCCAGCACAAGTCTTTCTGATTAACAGATAATTACAGACACGCTGATAAACAGGTTTTCATAATAACATGCCAAAAGTGGAGCCCCCAAATGTTCCATGAGAGCTCTGAGGAAATGTAACAAGGGCCAAGCACAGGGTTTTGGGGACTGTGAGTTGGGAGGGAAACACTGCAGATGCTGCCGAGACAAGAGGACGGACGACAGAGAGGCAGCCAGGGACGCTGCCGGGGGTGGGGGGTGGGGTGGGGGCGAAGGTCTCTCAGGAAGCAGAGCTGTCCAGGGAGGAGCACAGGAATAAACGGTCAGCTTTGAAGTTTTTATTTTTTTAAAGCTACAGAGTGCTCTCTTCATACAAAACCTACTTTGGAAACCCAGTATGAAAAATACATGAGACCGGCTCTGGAGGGAGCTCCTCAGGGAGGTCCCACAAGGGTCAGTATGGGACACAGACATAGAAGAGCAAGAAAAAGAGAGGTGCCTGATGAGGACGGAGCGTCACCCCGGGGCTCTCTGTGCCGGGGCTCTGCTCCACCTGCGGCTGCTCCGGGTCCCTGCTGGCTTCCTCCCACCCTGCCCTTCCAGACCACACACAGCTAACAGTCTGCTCCTGCCTCTCTGATGTGTATTCGAAGATGAAAAAACAAACAAAAAATAAGGATCAAGAAAGGAAAAACAAAAATCTGGAATATGTAGGAATACTTAACCTATTCTGTTCATGAGAAAAAGCAAGTATTTTAGGGAGGGAAAAAAACACAAAAAAACTGTTACAATTATTTGGTAACTTATTGCTCCCTTTATTTCTGAAAAGTGGACTATATCAACAATGAAATAGGACCTATGGTTGCTCAAATCAAATTGGGTTTTATGATTGGCTGAAAGCTCTTCATATAAAGACATTTGCTGATTAAAAACAAAAGTATAAAGACTTGCTGGCTCATTTTAAAAAGTTTTCTGATTGGTTTGAAAATGTCTTGCTGTACTGCTCAAAGTAAATTTCTCCACCAACTGAAATGACCAAAAGTAGGTTAAAAAAAAAAAGCCCATCTACCCTGTGATTTTACCCCAGATGATTTTCTACAAAGCCTCTATTTTTTAAATTACCCAAATTCTAGACAATTATTTTAAAAAGTAAAAATACAGGGATTTCCATTACACTATAAAATTTAATTTTCCTAAATGGAAATGCATTTTAAGTTTTGGTATTGCTACAAAGCTGAATATGTCATAACGTCATCCACAGATAATAAGTATTAACATTACAGGTGGATCCAATTATTTTACTGAAGTGGGTAGTCATTCCCTTCTTCAGGGCATCTTTCCAATCCAGGGTCTCCTGCATTGCAGGTAGATTCTTCACCATTTGAACCACCGGGAAGCCCGTTTTTACTCAAAACACCTAAAATTTAATTAGCCTTACTCCTTCATATTCCAAACAAGGGCTAAAATAATTTCTGCTCAGAGTAGGAATAAAAGTCAAAAATAAACTGTTGAGTAATATGTTCCACATTAGAGCTGCCAAGAGACCCCAGATGATAGTGAGATGGGACCATCTTCTTAATTAACTTTTTATTTTATATTGAAGTACAACTGATTAACAATGTTGTTGTGATAGTTTCAGGTGGACAGAAAAGTGACTCAGCCATACACATACATGTATCCATTCTCCCCCAAACTTCCCTGAGATGGACCATCTTAAAGGCAGATCGTGTGGAGAGTCATGAGCTTGGGCCTTGGGGACGATGCACTAGTGCAGCCCCACCAGGTATTTGAAGGCACCCAAAGTAGAAAACACAGACTCAGAGCAAGTCAGGGGAGAAGCAGAACACAGGCAGAGAAGGTAATGAACACATCTCAGCTTCTTTACCTGCAGGAGAAGTTCTTGAAGCTGGGCCCGCTTCTGCTTTATCCGTTCTATCCGCCTCTGCTTCTCTATCTTTAAAACACAGGTTACAAAATAGCATGAGCATGTAGAGTAGAAAATGCTGCTCACTTTTAAGCTCCTAGTTCTGAGACATCAAGAATTTTCCTTAAAGATAGGCAACCTATTTAACTACTGACACCAGTAAAGGTAGATTCCACCTTCCGGGGTCAGGTAAGCAAGCAGGCAAGACAGCAGAATTGTAGCAATCGCCATCAAACGACATCCATCCCCCTAATGAACACTTGATCTGTGGGACCAGCTCTATTTATTTCACAAGCACCAATCAGAGTCACAGGTTAACACTTGAAAAAGTGAAAGTGAAGTCATTCAGTCGTGTCTGACCCTTTGAGACCCCATGGACTGTGGTCTACCAGGCTTCTCCGTCCATGGGATTTCCAATCAGAGTCACAGCTAACACTTGGTGAATACCTATTCTATGTGTCAGTGATTACCTGAGTGCTAGACACATGGTCTCTTAATTCGTGTTCACAAAACCCTAGACATAAGTACGGCTGTTATCCTCTTTGCAGTAAGGAAATGGAGGCACAGAGGGTGAAGAACCTGCCCAAGGTCACACCACTGGTGGATGGCAAGAACCAGGATTTGAATCAAAGCCACCTGGTTACAGAAATCCCATTATTAATTGCTTTGCTCTATTAACCTCCCAGAATGAGATAAGATCTCATTTAAGATCTCCGTTTAGCTGCTTTTTTTAGTGTGACTTGTGGGATTTTAATTCCCTGACCAGGGATCAAACTCACGCTCTCTGCACTAAGAGCACGGAGTCCTAACCACTGGTCCACCAGGGAAGACAGTCCCTAGAGCAGTTTAATCTCCTCTTGTTTAAACAGGCACGGCTGCTAATACAGGGCTCCTATATTCAATACGCTGTTCTTACCTGTAGTAAGAGACATGGTTATGGGACAAATTTCCTAGCTTCAACCAACTACTGTTTTCCTCAACCTCACAACTACCTAGAAAACACAGATTAAGGTCTGGAATATCCCTGTAGATGAGTTCCTCACTGTGTCTTTGGGCAAAAGCCAGTGACATCTAATATCATCTTTCTTGTCTACTCCAACAGCATCTTTCTTACTTGCTCCCCATCTAGTCCCCACCAGGAGTCTCTCTCATGATTCCTCTGATCACAGCCACTTGAACCCCGAGACACTTAAGATCCACTGTAAGATCTGTGTGCTCTTTCACATGTGAAAAGATGCTACTGGGGTTTTCCCCAGCATCTGACACTGTTGACAGAGCAGCTCCCACCTAATGCCTTGCATCCAGCCAGGCCAAGTGGTATTGATTCTGCCTCTAAAACATTTCTCCAGCCTGTCATGGCCAGAACTCAGCCCCTCTCCAACCCACCCCCTCACTTTCCCTCCTAATCTTCCTGTCAGTCCGGCTTCCAACCCACTGGCAGACTGACCCTTTTGATTACACTACCTCAGCTCTCTTCTTTATAATTTTCCAGTAGCTCCTACTGTCTATAGGATCAGGTCCCAACTACTTAACACCCAGGAACCTACCTTCTCTTTCACCTGTACTCTGGCCACAACCAGCTGTGGGCAAGCCTTCCTCAACCCGCCTCAGTCCAGGCAATGTCCCTGCCTCCCTGCCCTAAACCACTTGGCAAACTCCTCCCTCATGACTGAGCACAAGGATTTTTTTTTTCTCTTGGTAAAGCACCCCCACTCCCTCCCTTATACCCCTTTTTCCAGAGAATCTGTACACACTTCTTTCATAGGAGTCATCACAATTTTGGTAAGTACTTTTACATTTCTGCTCTCCTCAATTAGAATGAAAGCTGCTTGGGATCATAATCTTATATAATCTTTCATTTAAGCACATGGGAGATGTTAAGAGATTTCTGCTTACTTAGGCTTTGATACCAGCTTAATATTACTGGTAATTAACCCTCAAGTATTTCTCTATCAGGAGGAGAAAAAAGGACATTTCCACTGCAGCACATGAATGACATTATTTTATAACTTCTGATGACTGACAGGTTTTCTCCCTCCATCCACAAGAATATTAACACCAAAATTTTTTGATTTGCTAGGGGAAAAAAGGGACTAAGAAAAACATGAAATCAACCATAGTCACGTCTAAAGCTGCCTTTTGGATATGACAGTAAAATTATGTCAAATCAATTTACAAATAATATGTCAGGGCACATGCTTATTTAGGAAAGATTTTGTATAATGATTGAAGTTCAAAGAATAAAACATGCTTTTTGCACACATCACCCCAAATTCTTGTAAGCTGCACATTCTACCCATTCTGAAAAAGATTTAAAGGAAATTCCATACCATTCTCCTGCCACTAATTCTAGAGTTGAAGATAAAAGTTCAAATACAAGAAATAGACAGCCAACTTGAATCCATTCTTTCAGATCTATACAGCCAAGTATTTCATCAAATAAGATCATTTCTAGTACACGAGTCAATGAAAATTTATTAGTAGAGTGCTCAGAATTAAATTAGAATAAAACAAAGATGTTCTCCAAAAAAAAGAGAAAAAAAAGAAATCAAGTCATTTCATTTCATGTTTCATCAGGACATCAGTCAGACTAGACCTCTCAAAATCTCCTTTCAGTTCTGAAATTCTACCTAGGAGAGACTTTAAAGAAAAAAGGCATACTATGAATAAATAGCTATGAATATTTTAATACTATGTGACTGTATTTCCAAATTAAAACATCTCTGATGTAAAATAAAGCAAAGTACTATCTGTAAACAGATTTTCTTCACTTACCTCCAGGTTTTGACATTCCTGAGCAGAATTGGTAGGCAGACCAATCCATTTGATTTCTTTTTTTTCCTTTGAAATTATGTTCATTGCCATCAACACATTTAAAGCATCATAAACTCTTCGCCTAATGTTCTTCTGATCATAAGCCTGCTAAAAGAAATATGTTTATTGAGTGATAAACTTTAAAGGTCATGATATAATCACAAGGTATTAAAATATTTAATAATAATTTCATAAATATCTTCAAAGTTCTGAAAGAATTCTCCACGCAATGAAAGTATCCTTTAAAAGTAATGACAAAAAAAAGTAAAGATTAAATAAAGATACTTTCAAGCAATCTAAAGCATAAAACAATCTTAAAAATAAGGATTATGTTCCTCATACATCTAAATTAAATGATGCGAAAGAGCCTTTTCTAAGTAAAAGGAAAAGAATTAAAGATAGGAACTTGGAGATGATGTAGGATGACATGAAGACCAACTCAAAAGGTAAATCTCAATTGATACTGTATAAAGTATAATGTCTTGGGGAGTCTAGAAATAAAAAGAACTAATATACAGGACAGTAATACCAGACTACCTGACTTGCCTCTTGAGAAACCTGTATGCAGGTCAGGAAGAAACAGTTAGAACTGGACATGGAACAACAGACTGGTTCCAAATAGGAAAAGGAGTATGTTAAGGCTGTATATTGTCACCCTGCTTATTTAACTTATATGCAGAATACATCATGAGAAACGCTGGGCTGAATGAACCACAAGCTGGACTCAAGATTGCCAGGAGAAAGATCAATACCCTCAGATATGCAAATGACACCACCCTTATGGCAGAAAGTGAAGAACTAAAGAGCCTCTTGATGAAAGTGAAAGAGAGTGAAAAAGTTGACTTAAAGCTCAACATTCAGAAAACTAAGATCATGGCATCTAGTCCTATCACTTCATGGCAAATAGATGGGGAAACCATGACTGATTTTATTTTTCTGGGCTCCAAAATCACTGCAGATGGTAATTGCAGCCATGAAATTAAAAGATACTTACTCCTTGGAAGGAAAGTTATGACCAACCTAGACAGCATATTGAAAAGCAGACATTACTTTGTCAACAAAGGTCTGTCTAGTCAAGGCTATGGTTTTTCCAGTAGTCAGGTATGGATGTGAGAGTTGGGACTATAAAGAAAGCTGAGCACCGAAAAATTGATGCTTTTGAACTGTGGTGTTGGAGAAGACTCTTGAGAGTCCCTTGGACTGCAAGGAGATCCAACCAGTCCATCCTAAAGGTAATCAGTCCTGAATATTCATTGGAAGGACTGAAGCTGAAGCTGAGACTACAATACTTTGGCCACCTGATGCGAAGAGCTGACTCATTTGAAAAGACCCTGATGCTGGCAAAGATTGAGGGCAGGAGAAGGGGACGATGGAGGATGAGACGGTTGGATGGTGTCACCGACTCAATGGACATGGGTTTGGGTGGACTCCGGGAGTTGGTAACGGACAGGGAGGCCTGGCGTGCTGCAATTCATGGGGTCACCAAGAGCTGGACACAACTGAGCAACTGAACTGAACTGAACTGGATAGTATATATAGGAGAAAGGGGTAATGGAGTTAAAGTGGGCTAAGATCCTGTAGTGTCTCTGAGGATGTCAGACTTTCAAAAGTCAAGGATGCATCCTTTAAGTTCTAGTTAGCAGTGCTTCTCAAAATGTGGTCCACACACTAGTGCTGATCTGCAAAAAATGAAAATGGTGAACCTGCACCAAAATGTAATCATATAAATCACTAGGCACACTGTGTAGTTCAGCTGATATTTTTTTGGTAGCAAGACTTTATAACAACAGACACTATGTTAACTTACACTGTGGGAAAGCCCCTTATCTTTTGGTGGACAGGCAGTTTGTAAGAACTGAATCCAACCAATCAAATGCCATGATAATAAAAGATGGTGGACAACAATGAATCTACTTAAATATAGAAGTAAACTTAAATAAAAGGGAGATTTTAAGTTATAGAACTGAATGTAAATATTAGAAATCCCAATACTGTAGAAACAATGACAAAATAACAACAGATGTTAGGAGGAGGCAACAGCAAGTCTGCTGATTTCCTCTTCTTTTTTTTAGAAATAGTTCGTGCTTTTGTTTTTTGAAAGTACTTTTTGACTGCGCTGGGTCTTGTGGGATCTTTAGTCGCAGCATGCGAACTCTTAGTTGGAGCACGAGAGATCTAGTTCCCTGACTAGGGATTGAAACAGGGCCCCCCTGCATTGGAAGCGAGGAGTCTTAGCCACTGGACCACCAGGGAAGTACCTGATTTCCTCTTCTTTGATACTGGAAGCAATATGAATTCAAAGCAGATGAACTATTCAAAACAGATCAACTATGCAATAATTTTAGCACAATATATTCAAAGTCATAAAAACAACTATAATATTCTTTTAACAGTGGCCACTAATATATTCAACTGAATCCTGTGGTAGAGGGGAAAGATGGGAGATGGGAATACAACAGGCATATGGATTTATTTTTTCCTCCATAATCAATCATAGTCCATAGGTGATAACTCAAGAAATGAAATACTGAAATTACTGAAATTATAAAATACTGAAGTTATAATAAAAATAACTTTAAAGAACTACAGACCATAGAGCTTCCAAATCATGAGAAAAACAAAATAGTGAATCAACAGAAAAAAAAATCCTTGCTTATATTCAGGAGTGGGGATGGGGGTGTGGTTATTAAAAATGTGTGTTAGATATTGAAAAGTGCTAAGAAAAGTGCTTCACTTTAGTAACATCTGAGTGAAAATTAGATGGAGAAGAGAAAATACATGGAAATCCCCAGCAAAGAACACATGTAGTGTAGTAACTGCGTGTAGTAACTGCATGGTAGGCGATGAGAGGTAGCAGAGGGCCAGGTCACACAGGGTCTGCTAGACCGTTCAGAGAACTCTGATTCTCACTCAAATTCAGAAAGCCATATACTTTCAAGCGCCCAGGGAAATTAAACAGAAATCACCATATAACGGCTGACAAGAAAAATCTCAAAGCAATCCCCACCTAAAGGAAACAGTTTGACTCAAAATTTCTGATCACAGGTAATAAAAGTAAAAATTCATGACAATAAGCAAAAATTCCTATCACCTGGAACTGTAAGAAACTTTTCAATGCAATTCTTAAGCCAAAGTTACAGAATAAAGAGTAACATACCAGAATCAATGGGGGTATGGGTAGTGTACAAGAGGAAAATAACAGCCATAAAGACTTTCAATACAAAACAAAGAAAATAAAAGTAAATAAAGCATATAGCGTAAAGAAATAATAAAAGTAACTTCAGGAAAGAGAACAGAATATTAAATACAGATAAAAACAGAAATTAACTTCAGAACCGGAGGTCTATACAAACAAATCCAAGAGATGGTTTTTTGGGGGAAATAAAATTGCAAATGATTTGGAAAACATGGATTAAATGGAGAATGTTCTAAGAAAACAAAAAAACACCAAACTGACTCAAAGGGAGAAAGCAATTTTAAACAGACGGATTACCAAATAAGAAATGGAGAAAGCTATCTAAACCCCCCACCAAATCACCACAGAGTATCTCAGGTGATTTCCATCAGATTGCAGGGAACAAAACTAGACATGCCATGCCATTAAATCTGTGATGGAGTAAAGCGAAAGAGAAAGCGAAGACCTCTAAATTCATTTTATAAAGCCAGCATGACACTACTTATCAAAACTGCAAAGATGGTACTGATTGCAAACAGGTGCCATGGAGGCTGGCAAGCAGGTCAAAAGTGGTCTCTTGAGTCTAAAAGGCATCGCAGAGCTTGGCATGACCAAGCAGGAGGAGGAACAGGACAAAGACAAGGCAAAACTTGAGGAAGCGATGAGAATGAGTATAAAGAACAAGAAGGAGGGACTTCCCTGGTGGTCCAGTGATTAAGACTCCGAACTTCTAATGCAAAGGGTGCAGGTTCAAACCCTTTTCAGGAAGGTAAGCTCCCACATGCCACAGGGCGTGGCCAAAAAATAAAAAGCACAAGAAGCAGTGTGGCCTGGGACAAGGGTACCTTGGCCCAGTTGGCCTTCAAGGAGATGCAGTAGAAATGGCAAACGGAGAGGATCCTGAAGAAAGCAACCAAAATTCACAAGCCAAAAGCAGAGGGCTCAAGAGACACCTGGACACACTCACTGAGTACCGTGACAGGCCCAGAGTCTGCTGGGAGAAGCAGCGCTCTTGCCTGGGGCATGGAGGGGTGTGGAGGGTAACTGGGTCATGTTTGGTGCCCTTGGTATTTTCTAGAAACATTCTTTTACACACAACACTGTATCTTCTCCTGAGGCAGCGCTTTCCAAAGCAATGTGCCTTCATTCTGGAATTTGATTAAAGTCAGACTAATACTCTATTTTGATTTCTCAGTAGCACATAGGCAATAAGCCATTTTAGTCTGGACTGGGGATTTTTGAGAGTTTATCCAGAGATTAAGGTTATCTCTGTGTATATGCCATGGAAATGTGTTTTCACCTCCGAGTTGCACCTAACACTTTGAAGCTGGCCAGCTGGCTCTGCCTGGATGAACCTGACTCCGGAGGATACGGAGTCAATGCCAGGATGGCCTGCAGCACATAGATCCCTGGGGGGCCCTGCATGGGCTTCCCTGCCAGGCTCCTGATAGCTTGGGGCCTGTGCTCTTCCCTCCAGGCCCTGGGGAAGCCAGCTGAAGGTTCATGGCCTTCAGCCTGCCTTCCCAGTCACCTGGCCAATGAGACAATGCAGCCTGGGAATCAGCACAACCACCTAAGGCAAGGACGGAACATACAGCTTGTCCCTTTCTGAACCTGGTCAGTTTGCAGCCTCTTCTCCCAATATCTTCATTCCAGACATGTGTCTAGTGGGTGTTGCCATGGCAGATATCACTAATCAAGCACAGCATTCTCTGTAATAGAACCCAGGCACAGTCTGCCTCCTTATCCTTGACCCTAAGGTCCAAGTAGCTCCTGTATTTACTCAGGGTTGACACATAACATGTTTGACATTCCTGGCCTAAGGATACATCTAGGGCAACAGGACCAAAGAGGCAGAGTCCCAGCACAGAAAGACAAGGGTGAGGTCAGAAGGGAGCACCAGGGTCCCAATGCTGGAGAGCCAGGATCTATGAGGGCCTATGTGTACCCACTGGATAAGGCTCAAACTATGCTATTGGGAGAAATACCTATGTGACATAGACACTGAAAGAATAACAGAGTCAGAAGAAAAAAACCAAGTGTTGTGTTTGGGATATCATAGAACGTGAAAGCATCAGTTGCTCAGTTATGTCCAATTCTTTGTGACCCCATGGACGGTAGCCCACCAGGCTCCTCTGTTTATGTAATTCTCCAGGCAAGAATACTGGAGTAGGTTGCCAGTCCCTTCTCCAGGGATCAAATCTGCATCTCCTGCATTGCGGGCAGATTCTTTACCATCTGAGCTACTGAAACGCAGAATAAAGGAAAAAATGTCATTTAAAAAATTGCAAAGATTATAAAAACAAAAGCAAATAACCCCACCAGTTTCATTCATAAATACCATTGTAAAAATCCTAAAATGTCAGGAAGCTATCTTCCTGACAGAATTAAGTTCAACTCCATTTCTGATTTTTTTAAATTAAGCAAAAAGAAATGTTCATTAAGAAAAAAATCAAGTTATGGTTACTACCATCTTAAAACCTTTATCACAATTAATGCTGCAAAACTATAAATATTTCCACTAACTTTAAGAAGTGAAGATCAGAGTTACTACTATTATTTAATATTGTTCTGGAATACATAAAGTATGACTACATTTAAGTAAAATGCAAACTAACTTATAAAAAGTATATCAGCAGCTGCCTGGGGCTAGAGGGCGAGGGAGGGATGGATTACAAAAGGCAGGAAGAGGCTTTGGGAATGATGGAAACATTTTGTGTCCTGATCATGGTGGTGGCTTCACACCTGCGTACAAATGTCAAAACTCACTGAATTTTACACTTGAATACATCTTATTGTATGTAAACTAGCCACAATAAATAAAAAAATAATTTAACAGTTTAATTGTACACTTAAAACATGTACATTCCCCTCCCTGCATGTAAATTTATCTCCATTTAAAAAAAAATGAGAATGACTTTTATGTGCTAAAAATGAGGCTCTAGATATATTACTAAGAAAATAAAATTAAGAATGAAGCATGCAAAGCACAACCACATTTATGTTTAAAATAACAAATTTTATTATATAGGTACATAAAGAATTTCTGGAATGATACTCAAGAATCTGGTAATAGTGAACAGTTCCTTGTGGAGTCAGATTAGAGTCTGTGGTAGAAGAGAAAAATTTTTTATCATACAGTCTTTGGTACAACTGAATTTCTATAAACATGTTCATGTAGTATTTTTTCAATTAAAAATAAGATAAAATTTTCTTACTGACTTAAAACACTGGAAGATTCAGATGTATCTAAAGTCATTCAAAAATAAAAAGTATACTTTTTAAAAAGTATGTTTCTTCAATAACCCCCAAAGATATTTAAAAAATACTTGTCCACCTTTATGTTTAAATAAGTAAGAATCCTTTTCAAAACAAAACAACAAAAAAATCAAAACAACAGAATTCCCTAATAGATAATACGAAACCCTCAGGTAAAGGGAAATTTGAGGATTCCCTAGCTTGTCTGAGTCCTCAATTTGACAGACAATCCAGAGAGGTACCACTGCTGCATCACTTTCACAGTCAACATCAAAGGCATGATCTACCTACCGAGTCAGCTGCCAAATGGTTATTTGAATTGGTGAACTCGGACACCAGCTCATCAGCTACTTCATTATATGACGTTGTACCTTTCCGCTGAACTTTCTCACACACTTTCATTGAAAAGTGTCTCAAGCCTTTTCCATTTTTATCTCCTTTTTTGCTTCGTTTGCTAAAAGAGAAAATAAAATTATACTCCATTATACTTACTAGAGACTTCCTTTATAAAACTATAAACTAATGTGAGAAGACAGGAATTTGATTATTTGTTCCCAGTGCTCAATTTTACATTGAATTAGAGATAAGGAAATGTTTTAAACTTAATTTTTACCTTAAAAGCCTAATAAAGTGTGCAGCAAGAGTGCCTTTTTATGCTCACTCATTTGTTGCCTAAATATTTACTGACCAGTTACTATTAAGTGTCAGATGCTGTCCTACACATTGGGAAAAGACTTGTGAAAACAGCAGACAAAAACTCTGTCCATGTAGAGTTTATATTCCTAATACTTATCTTTTTGCATTCTACGTATGCTATAGCTTTTTTTTTCCCTGTGAAGAAAGCTGAGCACTGAAAAACTGATGCTTTTAAACTGTGGTGTTGGAGAAGACTCTTGAGAGTCCCTTGGACTGCAAGGAGATCCAACCAGTCCATCCTAAAGGAGATCAGTCCTGGGTGTTCATTGGAAGGACTGATGCTGAAGCTGAAACTCCAATACTTTGGCCACCTCATGTGAAGAGTTCACTCATTGGAAAAGACTCTGATGCTGGGAGGGATTGGGGGCAGGAGGAGAAGGGGATAACAGAGGATGAGATGGCTGGATGGCATCACCAACTTGATGGACACGAGTTTGAGTAAACTCCAGGAGTTGGTGATTGACAGGGAGGCCTGGTGTGCTGCGATTCATGGGGTCACAGAGTTGGACACAACTGAGCAACTGCACTGAACTGAACTGAAAATTAAAAGTACCACTATGCTAGAGTTCTATTATCTACTCAATTTTCAATCAGAAGTCATTGGTGTTGGGTAGGGAGGGAGGTGGGAGGGTAGTTCAGGATGGGGAACACATGTACACCCATGGCTGATTCATGTCAATGTATGGCAAAAACCACTACAATACTGTAAAGTAATTAGCCTCCAATTAAAATAAATAAATTAATTTTTTTTAAAAAATAAGTCATTGGTGTTAGTAATGGATCTACATCTTCAGTTATCTTAAGTTAGGTTAATGCCTAGGCCTAACCTTTGATAGGAGAAGGCAATGGAACCCCACTCCAGTACTCTTGCCTGGAAAATCCCATGGACGGAGGAGCCCGGTAGGCTGCAGCCCATGGCTTCGCGAAGAGTCGGACATGGCTGAGCGACTTCACTTTCACTTTTCACTTTTATGCATTGGAGAAGGAAATGGCAACCCACTCCAGTGTTCTTGCCTGGAGAATCCCAGGGATGGGGTCGCACAGAGTCGGACACGACTGAAGTGACTTAGCAGTAGCAGTAACCTTTGATAATTTAATCATTAAAATTTCAGAGGTCAGTTTAGTTCTACTAATATCCGAGTACCAATTATATGCTAGGAACTGTGTGTCTTAGGGGCTGGAAGTACAAAAACAGTAATTGATGCAAAATCCTTTCCCTCAGTGAGATCTAAGGCTGGAAGAGAGGCAAAACTAATATATAATGACAGATAATTCCACTATAATAAGGTAAGTGCCAAGTCAGAGTTATTCACAATGTTTTATGGGAAATGGTAAGAGGGCTATCTAGTCTAACCTAAAGGAGGAAGATTCCCGGAGTAAGAATCAATGAAAACAATCCACAGAAAGAGAAGGCAATCTATGGAAAGGGAGAAAATATTTGCAAACCCTTTATGTGATACGTGGTTAATATCTGAAATATCTAAGAAACTCCCACAACTCAACAGTAAAACATGTAACACAAAAAACAGGCAAAGGACATGAATAGACATTTCTTCAAAGAAAACATATAAACGACCAGGAGTTATATGAAATGGTGTTCAACATCACTACTCATAAAAGAAACACAAATCAAAGCCACAATGACATTGTCCCCACACCTGTCATGTTCACTGCAGCTTTATTCATCCAACCAGTCTAAAGGATGTCAGTCCTGGGTGTTCACTGGAAGGACTGATGTTGAAGCTGAAAATCCAATATTCTGGCCACCTGATGCAAAGAGCTGACTCACTTGAAAAGACCCTGATGTTGGGAAAGATTGAAGGCAGGAGGACAAGGGAATGACAGAGGATGAGATGGTTAGATGGCATCACCAACTCAATAGACATGAATTTGGGTAAACTCCAGGAGTTGGTGACGGACAGGGAGGCCTGCTGTGCCGCGGTTCATGGGGTCGCAAAGAGTCAGACACAATCAAGCGACTGAACTGAACTGAACCAAGACAAGGAAAACTCAAATATCCATAGATGGATGAATGGATAAAGAAAATGTAGTATGTGTATACATATATATTCACATAGACATATAGGCATATTTATATATATACAACATAATATTATTTAGCCTTAAAAAAAAATTCTGCCATATGCAACAACGTGGATGAACCTGGAAGACATCATGATAAGTGAAATAAACCAGTCACTGAAGGACAAATGTTGCATGATTCCACTTATATGAAATATCTGAAATAGTCAAGCTTCCAAAAGCAGAGGCTGGAGGGAAAGGGGAAATGGGGAGTCTGCTGTACAGAGGAACCTAGATCTCATCATATTCCATCATTATAATTGCATTCATTTATAAGTTATTTACATGTTCTACTGTGTTATGTCCATTAAGAAATAGATGCTAAATGTACTTTTCAAAAGAGTAAGGGAAGATAGCTACTTTCTTTCCCTGCATTCCCAAAGAGTCCTCTCTGTGTATTCACTGTGGGTCACAGACTACTGAAATACTGTTATCCCACTCAGTGGTATTGAGGGATGGAGTGGCATGGTAAAATTTTCAGTGAGGTGGAGATTTTGGATGCAGAGTAATTTATGGAGGGCAGAAGCAGGAACAGGAAGACCCACTGACAGGTTACTGTAATAGTCCTAGCAAGCAATGCTCAGTCCTGGAATTTGAGCAGCAGGTAGGACTGGATAAGAAGAGATGGATTTGCAAAAATGTTAAAGATAAAAATCAGTAGAACGAAGTGACTGACTGCTGTGGATGGTAAGGAAGAGGGAAACAGGACAATAATCCTTAAAAGGAGGGGTCATTTACTGAGATCAAGGAATTTGGAACAAATTCATGAATTTCATTTTAAACCTTTTCACTTGCATTGTCTAATACTCTGGGCATATTCTACTTGTGGCTATCAAACACCTGAAATGGGACAAGTCTGAATCAAGTATGCTGTTAATTTCAAAGACCTACATGAGAAATGAAGGTATAATTTTTATATTAATTAAAAATTGAAATATACTACTTCAGATATACTAGATTAAATAAAAGATGTAACATCAGTCTCACATATTCCAGTTTACTTTTTATAAACTGAATGTTGGAAAATTAAAACTCACATGTGGCTTGCATTACATTCTATCGGGCAGCAATAAGGTTGAGTTTGACATGCCTATAGAATATCCAAATGGGTATATTCAGTAGACAGAAGAATAATACATAAGTCTACAGCCAGTGTGAGAGGCCACTTAATAAACCTATCAGCACCTGCACCCAGTTCTTCTCAGTCCCAGAGATTAGGCAACCCTCTCTTCCTTTTCAAATCTAACTTCCTTTTTCAAGGTAACAGCTTTATTGAAATACAATTCACACACCATAAACTTCATCTTTTCAAGTATAAAATTCAGTGGTTTTGTTCAGGAGTTATGCAACCATCACCATAACCTAATTTTTCTGCCTTAAAAAGCAATTCTGTCCCCATGAACAGTCACTTCCCACCCCCCTATCCTCAAGCCCTTGGCAACCACTGTTTTACTTTCTGTTTCTATGGACTTGCCTGGTTTTCAATGTCAACTTTGCAACTGGAGCTTCTCACTTCAGTGCTTCTGATCCTGTATTATGTGCTTTCCTTGACCTGTCCCACTCAGTTGTTTGTTTTTCAAGTGTACAACCTATCATGGAACCTGAATGTGATCAAGACACAAGATCCACCTACCAGTTTAAAGGAAACAATGAAGACAGAAGAACACGTTAAACTATACTAAAGAGATGCTATGGGACTTCCCTGGGGTTCCAGGGGTTGACAGTCTGCCTGCCAATGCAGGGGACGTGGGTTCCATCTCTGGTAAGGGAAGATCCCACATGCCTCAGAGTGGCTGGCCCCGTGTGCCTTAACCACTGAGCCTGTGAGCTGCAACTACTGAAACCCAGCAGCAGCCAAAAGTCAATCAATCAATTTAAAAACAGAGAGATGCAGTAAGCAAAATCTTTAGAATCTTCCTTCAGGATTAATGTGGTTTCTTCAACTAATAATTTGGAAGAGAAAAAGTGAGGAAAATACAGAGGGAAAATCTACAGATTATAAAAGACTTAACAATTTATTTAAATTCTGATTCATATAGACTGTAAACACACACACACACATACCCATATAGGAGAGTGTGGAAAGACAGCAACAGCAGCATAGTTCTCAAACTCTCCAAATCCCCATACAAAAACAGAGCAAGTAGCTATCCAAAAGTCTACAAGCAATAAATGCTGGAGAGGGTGTGGAGAAAAGGGAACCCTCTTACACTGTTGGTGGGAATGCAAACTAGTACAGACACTATGGAGAACAGTGTGGAGATTCCTTTAAAAACTGAACTAGAACTGCCATATGACCCAGCAATCCCACTCCTGGGCATACACACCGAGGAAACCAGAACTGAAAGAGACATGCGTACATCAGTGTTCATCGCAGCACTGTTTATAATAGCCAGGACATGGAAGCAACCTAGATGCCCATCAGCAGACGAATGGGTAAGGAAGCTGTGGTACATATACACAATGGAATATTACTCAGCCATTAAAAAGAATACATTTGAATCAGTTCTAATGAGATGGATGAAACTGGAGCCCATCATATAGAGTGAGGTAAGCCAGAAAGATAAACACCAATACAATATACTAATGCATATATATGGAATTTAGAAAGATGGTAACGATAACCCTATATGCAAGACAGAAAAAGAGACACAGATGTATAGAACAGATTCTTGA